GGTGGCCTACGTCACGCATCCCATCATCGGCGTGGACTTCCTATCACATTACAGTCTCCTGGTGGACTGTCGGAACAACCGCATTCTGGACGGGGTCACGACGCTGTCAGCCCCGGCCTCAGCGCCCAACGCACTGATCCCAAGTGTAAAGACCATCAGCAACAACACACCGGTCGACAACCTCCTCAGAGTTCCCAGACCTGACCTGCCTAGCCAGAGTCCAGTGCGAGGTACGACACACCACCATCCGCCACATCAGGACTGTACCTGGCCCACCAGTAACCTGCCGACGACGGCGACTGGCACCAGACTGACTCACTATCCTATTGCAAAAGCCGAGTTCATCACCATGTTGTGGTATGGTACAGCTCGCTGGTCAGAGAGTTCCTGGTCCTTGGCACTACACATCATGCCCAAGAAAGACAACGGTTGGGGTCCATGCGGCGGTTACATAGCACTCAACTCCTGAACCATCCCTGACTGTTACCCTGTCCGCCATATCCAAGACTACTCCCACCAGGTTTTCGGCTGTTCCGTCTTTTCCAAAATTGACCTGGTGAGAGTCTAATCCTTGTCCACTTTGAAGACATACAGAAGATCGCCAACACCACTCCATTCGGCCTCTTTGAATTTCCATTCATGTCCTTCGGCCTGCGCAACGTCACCCAGACCTTTCAGTGCTTCATGGACGACATTCTACGGGGACTCGACTTCTGCTTGGCATACTTAGACGACATCTTCAAGCAACTCCAGAGGTACGGAATCATTATCAACCCATCAAAGTGCGTCTTCAGAGCACCTGAGGTCACCTTTCTCGGCTGCAAAGTCTCCGCTGAGGGTTCCGAACCTCTGGAAGACCGAGTGGCCCATCTCCAGGACTGTCCCCTCTGAAGACCGCCAGTCAGCTCCGACAATTCCTAGGCATGCTGAACTTCTACAGGCGATTTCTGCCCCATGCAGCGACCACGCAGGCACCACTGCACAACATCCTCTCCGGACCCAAAGTCAAGGGCTCCCACCCCATTACTCGGACACCGGAGCTCCACAAGGCATTCAAAGAATGCAAGGCGAGTTTGTCACGCGCCACTCTACTGGCCCACCCGGATTCATCCGCGTCACTTGCCTCGTCACAGATGCCTCCACGTCCACTGTGAGTGCCGTGCTACAAAAACATGTAAGGAACACATGGCAGCCCCTCGCCTTCTTCTCAAAGAAACTTAACCCGGCCCAACAGAAGTACAGCGCCTATGACCGTGAGCCACTGGCTATCTACGAAGCTGTCAAGCATTTATGCCATATGCTGAAAGTGCATCACTTCACCATCTTCACCGACCACAAACCAAGCACCCATGCCTTCCAGCAGAAGCGGGATAAATGCTCACCCCAGCAGTTCAACTATCTAGACTTCGTCTCCCAGTTCACAACCGACATCTGACACATCTCTGGACAGGACAACGTTGTCGCCAACACCCTCTCTCACGTCGAGTCCGTCACTGCGCCACCACCTTACAATGCACTTGCCGCATCACAGGACAGCGACGACGAACTCCAAGCACTCCTGGGGTCAACCACCACCCTGCGGCTCAAGAAACTACCAATCCCCGGTACCGCAGTCTCCATCGACTGTGACACGTCTACCGGGAGACCTCGGCCATACGTCCCAGTGCCTCTATGATTCCAAGTGTTCCAGTCCGTCCACGATCTGTTGTACTCAGGCACCAGAGCAACAGTGAAGCTGGTCGCACAGCGATTCATGTGGCCAGGTGTGCAGAAGGATTGCCGCGCCTGGGCACGTGCTTGCCAGTCCTGCCAGTGCTCCAAAGTCTCCCATCACACAGTTACTCCACTGGGAGACTTTACACCGCTGGCAGCCCATTTTCTGCATGTCCATATCGACCTTGTGGGACCCCTTCCTACGTCAGCGGGCTACACATACTGCATCACTGCAGTCGACCATTTCACCCGCTTGCCAGAAGTCGTCCCCATTCCGGACATCACAGACAATACAGTGGCACGCGCCCTACTGACTGGTTGGATATCACGCTTCAGTTGCCCGCAGACCATCACCACCGACCAGGGACGCCAGTTCGAATCCCAAGTCTTCCAATCCCTGACCAGGCTGTGCGACATCCAGCTTTCACGTACAACCGCCCACCACCCAGCAGCTAACAGACTTGTTGAATGCTTCCACCAGACACTGAATGCAGCCATCATGTGCCACGCGGACCAACAGTGGACTGAGGCCCTTTCCCTGGTTCTCCTTGGAATCTGCACTGCATTCAAGGAGCACCTGGAAGAATTGGTAGGTGAGCTCGTGTACGGCGAGCTACTAACTGCAACTACCGACCCCACGGATCCAGCATACCTCATCACAGAACTCTGCCAGCACATGGACCACCTCCGACCAGTCCCAGCAGCACACCATGCCTCCCCAGCTACTTTCGTGCACAGTGACCTTGAGAGTGCACCCACGTTTTCCTTCGGCAGGACTCAACACGCCCAGGCATTGGAACCCCCCTACAGAGGCCCCTACCAGGTCCTGTCACGGAGAGAGAAGACGCTGCAACTCCTCGTGTGTGGATGGCACGTCACTGTACCCACCGACAGGGTCAAACTGGCCTACATCTTACAACAGACAGACTGAGGGAACAGCATCAACCCACCAGCTGCAGCAACCCCGACTGTAGGACCACCTGCCATGCCAACACAGTTCCCTACAAGGACTACATGCTCCGGACGCCACATCCATTTCCCCGCTCACCTGAACATATGAGCATCAATTTTTGCGAGGGGGGAGTGATGTGGGAACATCCCACATACTAATATGTGGTTTCGCAAGTCTAACAGACAGCACTCACTCCGAGTCAAAATCACATTGCCGCGCATTGCTGCCATGGTATAAGAGCGGAGCCCAAAGCTCGCAATCATCAGTGATCACATTCAGTTCAGAGCGATCAGTCATCAGAGTCATCAGCTGTTCACTGTGCCAAAGACAGCTAACATAGCTGCCGCAGCTCTCCAGCAACCGCGTTCTGCTACTAGGCAGCTAACATAGTTGCCGCAATTCTCCAACAACGTCGCTCTGCAACCAGGCAGCTAACGTAGTTGCCACAACTCTCCAGCAACCTCATTCTGTGACCAGGCAGCTAACGTAGTTGTCGCAACTCTCCAGCAGCTGTTCTTACCAGCTCACGCAGCACCACATCACCGGCCAGACAGACCAGCTGAACGGCCGTAAAGACTTGGTCTACTACAAAGGAGCAAATTCTATCAGTGCACTCACAGTGGAACAAACTGCCCTTTTCAGGGCCAGCCAACTTTGAACATTCCACATAGCTTTGCACCTATTCTGTACATCAATTTATACAATTTAATATATACAATTGTTACAGTTTCACATGGTTGTCTTTTAGTACATCGACAATCCCACAAAGGTTTCACCCTACTGTGCAAGCTATATTTTTGTTTGTACTGGGTATTCTCTGTAAGTCACACACTCTTTCCATTTTGTATTACTCAAATGGAACAGCAGAATTGCTTTCATTACTGCATAAATCTTCAGTTATGGTATAAAAACTGGAAATGGTTTCAAAGATGTGAACCACAAATGCACAGAACTACAAATCTGCAGTCTAGTGGTTTGTTAGCAGGTTTCAGCAAATAAGACTTAAAATGCAGCATCACTTAACGCTGGGCAATGTAGATTCTGGTCATGAAAGCCTAAACATCCTGTGATGGCATTCATAAATACCAAACACATACAAACCTGTTACAATGATGTGACAACTTCTGTCTATTCCAAATTTATCCCTTTCCAAGACGATCCTGACATTCACATCCATTATATACATACCTTTTATTGATTATCCTGATAAAAACCTTCCACATCAATTAGCAAAAGAGGGTGCAAAATGAGAATCAGGACACATATCAAGGTACTGATCCAAAGGCATATACATACATAGAAAGTTGGGAAGAACCACCCTGCACTATAGCAGTAGGTTATCACATTTATATTTTCTTCTTGACAATGAAAACTTGAAAGAGAATAGTCCAAAGACATTTAAGTTTGGGACACAACAGAAGAATCAAATTTCTTTCCAACTCTGCGTGTCTTTAGGCCTCTAAGTTAGCAACAACTCTGAATCTCTAGTCCTCACTGCTTCCCAGTGCACTGGAATAATGCTTCACTTCCCCTCCCCCCAGTTCAAATTACTGCAAAGTAATACTGTTTACGACCAATTCTCTTTTCACCACTCTTAAGATGCAGTTACATTTCGAATGTTTGCATCACCATGCTTTTGTGATCTTTCACTTTCTTTGTCATGCTGTTTCAGTCATCAGTAATTTATGAGACAAATTTGTGTCTAACCATTCTTCTCACTCTGAGATAAGGGGAGGGGAAATCCAGTATTTATTTAAATTTTACACAGAGAGACAAAATTTTTTGTTTTCAGAGTGGTGATTATGAAGAGTTCTTCCTTTTGGGACACAATGCCATGTAATCTGCTGGAAGTCAATTTACATTTTGGAGGTGATATGTTTCTCTGAAATGGGAGTCTGGAACTGTTAATTGGGAGTTAATATAAAAAAGCAAACCAAAATAACATAATGAGCCTGCTACCTCAAGCACTTTATATTCTCACAACATGGTCCATGTTTTGGGCAATCAACTGATCATCACAGGAAAGAACTTGTCTTCTGCAGAAGACAAAGCAGGATTTAATGATGAATGACAGATGAGCAGTTATCTGTATTCAGTGCATGAAAACAGATTGGTTATTGATTGTGGAGCAATGCTTGATAAGACACTCATTCATAACTCTCAAACCGATATGCCAACACTGTAATGCCTCAAGTGCAGTTCTTTCTTTTCTGTAAACAGTAGTAACGTGGACTGGTGTGGTGGATGATGTATTTCTCAAATCCCCCCCCAAATACTAACATGAATATCTAGATACTAAGACCCATTCATGGTCTTGAAGGTAATAGCAACTTACAAATGGTCTCATGAGGTTAAAGTTGCTGTGTGAAGTCCAACTGCCATCTACCTGTTTCTGGGATGCCACTTGCTTTTGCAACTGGTATGCTTGCTCCTCCAACTGCTTGATCTTGCGCATTGCATCTTCATCGCAAAGCTTTTTGCGTTCTTCACGTTTGTTTTCCTGTCAAAAACAAACACACTAAGGTGTAAATCTCTGCTGTTATATACAAGAGGGCTAAGTGAAGATGAGAGACCTTACCCAACATTTCAGGACATGGATATACGCATCAACAAGGAGTAGAAACCTGGTATTCTTGTGTTGTGGCTTATGCCCCTGGGCATGGTCATTCACAATTCTATTGTCCATGCACTTAACAAAAGTTAAAGTAGGTCACTCTACAATATTTATTGAACACCCAATGAGAAAAATTATCATGTAATGATAAAAGATAGTGAAGATGAGAGCCATCAGGAGAGGTACTTATAGCTTCAAATGTTGAATCTGGGCTATGGTGGGGGCCTGGTATTCCCCACACAAAATAAATAATATATCTAGAGAATGTGGGAACCTTGATGTCTCTCAACCCTGTGGGCCTCCATGGCCCGTTACAGGGTCACCTTTACTTTTTTCTTTTACCTTACCGTGTTCAATGGGCCTTCAAAGTAATTTTAATCCACTGATACAAAGTTATGAATGAACTACAAAAATGCACTAACATATCTCTCCCTCAGCCCCTCCCATTCCCTTGGTGTGTATTGTGGTATGCACGCTCAACAATGTGTGAATGTGTGTATATGCAGGCATGAGAAAGACAGAGAGAGAAGAGAAAGAAATATTTTATTGCAAGCATAAGAAGATATGATTTGTTAAGACAATATATGAAGCCTACATTTTGCACCATGCCATGGAAGTGTGCAGGGAGCATGGCAATAATGTTCTATGTATTACAGATCTCAATACAATAGAAAGACGTGTTCTTGTAGCACTGTACTTATACTATTTCAACGTTAGATGTTCATGTCTTTCATATCACTAGTTTATCTAATGCTACATGTTGCCTATTGCCATTTGAGTAACAGGCGAATGGTGCACCTGCATCTTCTTCAGTTGCTGACGAATATCTTCTAACTCAGCACGCGTCTTCTTCTCGGCTGCCATCAGCTGAACTTTATCTCGCTGCTCCTTACTCACACCTTTGTACATATCCAGCAGAAGTTTCATCTCTTTCTGATCATTCATAGCCTTCCTGTACATATATCAAATCAACTATTTAAGCAGCCAAATCTCAACAACCTTATTTAACATTGTTTATTCTATATACCAGTTAAACATTTTATCCAATTACTGTCTCTTAAAAGAAAATGTAATCCCACAAAGAAAAATTAGTCATAATCAGCATGCAGTTCTTAAGTAAAACCATACATGTATGGTACATATACCAATATGCTAACGAATGTGTGGTGCATCCATATTTTGCAAAGTAAAAATTTCCAACAAAACTTAAAATGAAAACTGGTATTCTCAGTCAGTGATTGCCAACAGACCACATATGTGGGCCATAAGAATGTTTAATCTGGTACAGTCAAATTTTATTTTGGTTTAAAGTTGATTATTCTAGTCAACAAATGTCCATACAGCTTTCACAAAAATCTTAATGAGAACCTTTTTTTAAAAATGCTCCTTGGCCTTGTTTTTAAGGGAAAGGGCAGAAGCAAACAGACCAGTCACACCTTTGAATGCTTTATTCTATTTCCACTGGAGCTACATCAATTTACGATTTTTTTTTTTTTTTGCATTTTGAAACTTACAAATTACATAAAAACTTGAAGATGTGTCTAAAATAATTTAAATAATGTAAATTTATTTCAGCAGAAACAATGCACAAACAGAAAACATAACTGGTACTACTATTCACTTGTGAGTTTCACAACTCTCTTTACGCAGCCAAACTAATTTAAAGAAAAACAGGTGTCATCCATTGTTCACTGAAACTGTTTTATATGTTACAGTCTAATTCTCAAACAGAACACAAATTTCTGTGCCTCTTTTGTGTCATCACCGAAGAATTCTCAGTCAGTTTACAAGAAAATGGTAAAATCTGAATTCCTGGGTCCTTGTGTTTCTAGTGTACAGAGCATTTGAATTTGAACATGAACATTTTTTCCAATTTCTTCATAATCCTAAATAATATGCAATTATTTATGCAAACAATGGTATTAATGAATAAAATAATATGTCATATTCTAAAAACCCTCTTGGGCCGCGCCATAGCTCAAGCGGTTAGTCGTTGGTTTCCCACCGCGGCAGCCCAGGTTCGATCAAGTGGGATTTGTGGTGGACAAAGTGGAGCTGGGGCAGGTTTTCTCTGAGTACTTCGGTTTCCCCTGTCAATCTTCATTCCACCAATTGCTCCACAATCACCCTCACCTATCATCTGGGGCTGGTACAATAGGCCAGAAGTGGCCGCAGTACAAGGGACCCCACCCCACTAGCATTAAAAATTAATTAATAACAACCCTCTTCAAAATACTTAATTCTAATTTTTCATAAAAAAAAATAAGAGGAACAATCACCACTTTTCACATGCAATAAACCATACAGGTATTTAACTCAATTATCACTTACTTAAGCTGAGCCTTAAGATCTCGCACCATCTCTGATTCAGCCACCTTTGCATCTTTGGCTCGGTGCTGCTCCCTGTGGTCCTTCTCAGTTTTAACTTCCTTCTTCACATCTTTCTCTCTTTTAATATCCTTTTCTTTCTTAATTGGTGGAGAAGTAAGTTGGCGGTCTTTATCTATCTCACGGTCCCCTTCTTCTCCCTATTAAATTGTTTACATTTTTAGAAGTATTCAAAACACATGTTTACCTACATCATAGGGAATCCAATGTGGTCTTATTAATACAAATTTCTGGTTAATAATATGCCAGTACCCAAGAATTTTTGCTTGTACAAAATGTACAACATTCTCTAATGTGAACATTCGATTAAATTACTGTCTGATTATAAAATACAGTATGCAAACCAAACGTTCATTTTGCATAATTATTGGGTTTTGAAAAAAGCATTTCATGAAAGACATTAAAATAATTACAGCTTTAACCACCTAAAAATAAGACACTGGAAATTCATTAATATTCAAGATCATATGTGCTGTAACTTCATTGAATTATTATGAAATATTAAGGTAATCCTCTCAATTGTATTCATAAGCAAGGTATGTAAAGCCTATTCTATCTTCTGTGTTACACAAGCTGGACTTCAATTTCTTACTAAATTTTATTGCTTGTATGTTTGTTACTAGTTCTACTGAGGGTTTGCATGGAGTATCTAGGGCTACCCTCCACAGGGCCCCATTCTCAAACCGCTCTCGAGACGATTACTCAGCCAGTAATTCTGTATTCTGTTAACATTATGTAACAGCTATTAACTGTAACTCCATTGTACCTGTTAAGTCTGGATTACCTTAAGTCGGTATTAAGTGACTGAAATATATCAATATTATTTGTTTCTTGCTATTCTGTGTATCCATTTGTTAGCATGCTCTTCAAGTGTGCTTGTTTGTTTGTTTACTTATTAAGTATATGTCTGAACAGTTCTGTCTTCTGGGATGAAATACGATGCAGTCTGGTGAAAGTGAACTGATGTTTCAGAGGAACATATCACATCCATCTCTAGGATCAAAGAGTAAGAAAAGCAAGAAGCTCCTTATTCAACATATTCGCAGCTTCTCTCCACATCTGGAAGCTGCCTCCTCCATCCACAACCCGAGGACATGCCGTGCCATGCCATGGTGACAGGGGACCCACCTAACATGGAAATTGGTATGAAGCAGACAGCAAATGCTGGTTTCTTGCTTGGATTAGTCTTTGTCTCTGAAGGTGGAGGTGATCTGTTGCTCATACATCAGTGTACTTCCATTGGACTACATGCAGTTATATTCCAAAAAGAAAACTCTTCAAAGACAACTCTGTGAGTGCTTCATATTCAACAAACATATTTCTGTTATTCTATACTCTTCTCTCTATAAAAGGATAGGTGCAACTGATAAAACTCCAAGCCAGACGAGCCAACAAGCAACACAGCATGGTTCAGACCACTTCAAAATCTAAAAAATGTTTAATTCTATTTAACTGTATACTGGGTTTAATCAAACATGACCGGTCTTGATTACTACCCAGGTGCATACAGTCATCGATGCTGACGTACTTTTAACCCACTCACACCCACTCAAGCTTAGCAGCTGAGATCCACGATAAATTATAATCAGATATGCAATAATTATAAAAGCATACATTACACTGAACCCAATTTAAGGAAAACATTCCCAAATGGAGTAGGAAATTTCACATAAAAAGCAGATCTGTTCCTACCTTGTACAGCCAACATCTTAAACAAAAACCTAGAATATATGACCTGTCTGTGTATAGATGTGAGCAATATTAAACAAAGGGTCAAAACAGCATAACTGCAGTAGCTCTATCTGCTAACCTCTGCTTCTTCCTCAGCGCCTTCTTTATTAGTGCATGTCCCAGTTTCCTCCTTCACTAAAACAGCCCCTTTATCAGCTGAGCTCTCCTCTTCTTTACATGATGATTCTGATAAAGAGCCTTCCTTCATTTCCTGAACTGTCTGTTGACCTATGCGTGCAGTTAGTTCCTCCAATTCCTTTTTGAGCTGAGAAAAATTCAGAATCAGTGCAAGGAAAAGTGTTGTGCCACAAATTAAAAATAAAATTAGATGAAGTCATCTTTCATTAACAATTACGAGTACTGTATTCTAACTTCATTAATAGAGCTACAAGAGTAATAACTATGGGAAAAGGATATGGAGAAGAGCATCAGAATTAAAATTTTAATGAAAAAGAGCTATGGGATGATCCAGAATAAGAAGGTTCAGCCAAGTACTAGGAAACATTAAGGAAATAGAAAAGAGCTGGCAAGAAATCAAAAGGAAATACTGGGGGCAATTGGAGACCTCTAATCTACTGAGCTGTATAAATGGGAATGATGTTAAGAAATGAAGATCTGCACTTAAATTCTGTATAAGATGTTCATATTTTCATTATGACCTGCAGGTTCATTTATTACTTACGATGTACAGAAGTTCTGCAGCAAAATGTTCTGATGCTTCGCAGGCATAACATTTATACAGGCCATTTACTTCATATAATAAATGCTCTACATATTAAAAATTCTTCTATCAATTGACATAAGATGAACAAAAGGTAACCTTAAGAAAAGTTGATTTTCTTTTATATAATATTCTAGATTAATTTAAAATTAATACACTGAAGAGAAGTCTAAGGTAATATCAACGATAGAAAGCAGTATTAAACAATAAAATACTTTAACAATAAAATCTTTCATATATCTGATTTTCAGAGCAGTCAATGAATAAGCTAAAGGTTTTGGATATCATAAAACATGATAAAATAAATGGGATAGCGACAAGATAGTCTGGTTTCAAAATGAGCATGGACACCACAATTAAGATTTCACACTGATATTTAGACCTAAAATACTGCAAAGCAACTCATTTTACAAATAAGTTGCAATCGTTTTAGTTGTATAAATCTGGGAATTTTAAAACCATAAAATGTTATACATAATCCTTCACATTCTGTTATTTTACAGCAAACTTCTAAATTTCTAGTTTCATCTATGGCTATATAACACAAACTAATGGGTCACAGCATTAAATGTAGTGAAAAATGCCATGTCACATTTTGCAAACAGAACAGGTATATGCCACACACCCCCTTTTCAAGAATAAAAAAAAATGTGACCTATACACCAAATTTAAATAGGACACAATTCTTAGTCAGAACAGACAATCTCTCCTGCATATTTAAACCACATAGAACACTGTTTATTTTCATTACCTTTGGTATTTCTGCATTAGCATCCTTATATTTTCTTTTATATCTGTGCACCTCCCCTTTCAGTTGTTGGTTGTGGTTTTGTAGTGATGTAATAAGATGGCGCATCTCTCTGTTAATGGGACCTGTCTGCTCATTAGCTGCCAAATTCTGCTCAAATTCTATGCGTAGCATCTCATATTCTTTGCGCAGCTGTGCTAGAATATCTTCCAGCTGCATTACTTCTGTTCGCAGTTTCTTCTGACCCAATAGTTCTTCAGTCTGAAAACAAAATTTAGAAGAATTTCTAAAAATGAATCATATATTTCAACTGATAACTTGTGTTTTAAATTCTGCAATGCTATGGAAAAGATGGACTAGTAAAAAATTAGTCAAAATTTGATACAAGCACTGAAAAATTCTCCTCACTAAAATAAATTCATATAAAAACTGATGAGACACTAGAGCACAGTTCTTCCTGTTTAGTGACATAATGCATACTGAGTTCAGTACATTACTGCATAAGTGTCTAAAGCTGTTTCTTTTCCTCCTGACAAATAATATTTGGTGACTTCGCCATTTTTTGTAACACCACAGAAATTTGAATTTAACATTAAATTGTCTTACTGTTATTGAAGATAACAAATAAGCTGAAAAATGCTGGAAGATTGAAAGGCGTTGCATTTCTTAAAATATCAGAACTCTTTCTTGATCATCTGCTGTGAACTGCTTTGTGTTCCAAATACTGGTCATGCTAACAACTGATCCCAATCAAGTGACATGTAAATCATTTACTAGGTTGCAATATTTAATAAATCTACAGAAACAACCATTCATGAATGCCATGGGCTGAAAAACATATCTGCTGAATATGGCCTAAAACATAAGCTGCAAAGCTGTGTGAAACACATCTGTAATGCTATCAGAAGTGACTTTTCTGGAAGAAAATGCTTTCTAACCAAACCTGAGAAGACTAGCATACAATGGACATCAAAATAATGTCATTCATGCCTGATTTCCTGTCAAATGAATTATAATGACTGCCAGCTCTCACTCATTTCTACTGAAAGAATGTGTGTGAGAATCCACATATTAAATAGGGTTATTTTAACAGCAAAAAAGTTGTATTTTAATAAAATTGTAGCAACTTCCAATAATAAGGCTAGGGCAACTTGGAAAGTCATAAGGAACACAACTGGAAATGATCATGTATCCACTAATATAACTTGTTTAAAGATAACAGGCAAAAATATCCAGAATTATCAAGACATTGTAAACTCATTTAACCTTTATCGGACGAACGTCATCATATGATTTCGCGGATTCCTCGCGTGTAAGGTTTTTTTTAAAATTAAATTAAAAATATAAATTGTTGTTCTATTTATATGATTTTTGGTCACCACCTTTATAAGGAGACAGCCTTCCTTCCTGCATGATCTAATGTAATCTAGCGACGTCATATGACGTTAAAAGTAAGGCCAAATGGACGAATGACATCATATGATGTCGCGCATTCCACGCATGTAAAGATTTTTTTAAAATTAAATTTGAAATATAAATTGTTGTTCTATTTACATGATTTTTGATCACAACCTTTATAAGGTGACAGCCTTCCCTCCTGCAAAATGTAGAAAACGAAGAATGTGAAGAAAACGGTCGCGTTTCATTGTGTTAGAGTAGAAAGGCGTGGCAAATTGTTCAGTAGTCGACCAGTAGTCCTTTAGTGTGTCTCTAATGTCATGTCCCATTTGAATGATTATTCCTAGAAACAGAAACATCTCGGATTCAGTTACGTCAGGCCGCGGAGATGTTCCATCTTCAAGTCTGTCTAGGTACTGGTGATAGTACCTATTCGTCTCTTCCACCAGCAGATGGATAATCCCTGCAAAGTACAGCATGAAAACACAGAGAGGGGTGGAATCCTTATTCACGTGTGGAGCTGCAGTGATATTTATCCCCGCAGCTACACTGGAATAATTATTCACACCTCTCCAGCCACACAGGTCTGGCGGTCCCCAAGTTGCCGACGAAGGTGATGACCCTGCATCCGCGGAATCTGAACTCCAACTTTCCTCGCCACTCTCAGAATCGGTTGAATAGCAGTCCGAATCTGTGTCACTGAACAGCTGTTTCTCAATTTCAGCATCTTCCATACGACGTCATTATGTGGCCATGGTGAACTATACGGCTCTCTAGCAGTGAATGGTTTACTGCCAGCACAAAATCTCTGTGCTTAGACCACGACCAGAAGCCATAAATCATATCCTCGCGCCCACACATACAAAAATCTCATTCACATCTTGGCTGACCTCAATATCTGCTTCAAACATGCTAGATGATGTCATGGGTGGCTAACCTTATATTGCGATGTTTCAAAATCGTTACAAACACAGTGGTTTGACTGCAATGAATGAACGAATGACCGATCTGGCAACACCATATTCCGAGAATGTACTCCTGTGTCTTTCTAACAGATATTACACAGCGAACAATTTCAGACGTCCACAGTCCTGCATACCGACATGTTCCATACGATAAATAAGCTTCAACAAGAGATAGCATTGTATGTGAGGACTTACACTGCTAAAACGCATGGTGCAGAAAATGTATTACACTGCTGGAACGCATGGTGCAGAAAATGTATGAATTTCGGGAATTTTTTTTTGGAATCAGTGTAAAAAATTTGTACAGATATTAAAATCTGTAAATTAGAATATCTGATTCTACATTCTTTCTAGATTAAAGGAGCGTTCATTTCGTTCGTTTATCATAAAAAATGTAGAAATCACACCATTTTTAGAAACATGCTCACAATTTCATTGCTCTAGAAGGGCGGGTATTTAAATAAACTCCGTCCAGCTGCCCCTCCCGGAAATTAAATGGCCCGTCCGATAAAGGTTAATAATTTCTTTTTAGATGGGGCTAATATCACAAAAGAGGGGATAAATAAGGATATGGTAATAGACAAGAGACCTACAGATTATTTATATACTTCCTTTTTGCAACCCTTTCAAAAAATGGTATGAAAAGAAACAGAACATAATGAAATAGAAGAAGTAATAAGGTTAATGAAACCTAAATTAGCTCATGGATATTATGGAATTACAGCTAAGTTAATAAAAGCAAGTGCCCCATTTATATCTCTGTCTACAGGAATATTTCCTTCTCATTTAAAATACTATGAAATAACACCCATATATAAAAAAGGAGATAAAACTGACATGTCATACTATAGGCCAATATTTTTACTTCCAACTTTTTAAAAAATTCTTGTAAAGTTATATGTAAACAGCTCCTTTCTCATTTAAATAAATATAATATATTAGTAAAGTAACAATTTGGTTTCAGGGAAAATCTCGACAATATTAGCTACTTATAATTTATTAAACAATATTTATATGGCCTTAAATAACAAACGCATAGTGAGTGGAATCTTCTGTGACCTGAATAAGGCTTCTGACTGCGTAAGTCATGACATATTTCTGTCAAAAATGGAGTCTTATGGAATTACAGGAATTGCACAAAAACTTATGAGATCTTACTTAACAGGAAGATATCAGAGAGTAATTTTATCTAATAATGGAAATAAGTGCTGTTCTGAATGGAAAGAAATACAAAATTGTGTGCCTCAGGGCTCCATATTGGGCCTGCTACTATTTTTATTATACATTGACAACTTGCCAAAAATTACGTGACCTACATAAACCAATCTTGTTTGCGGATGACACTAGCATTATTATATTAGACAAGGATCCTAAAAACCTCAAAATCAAAATAAATAAATTATTTGATGTAACTAATGAATGGTTCACAACAAATCAGTTAACAATAAATTATGGAAAAAACCTGATTTTTACAGTTTCAAACAAAAAATGGCAAAATGCTGCATATTCAGGTCAGTTATCTAAACAACCAAATTTCAAGCAATTCTAACTGAACATTCTGGGAACTAAAAATAGATAATTTCTTAACGTGGAAAGATCATATAGATACATTAGTTGTTAAATTAAACATGTCTTGTTTTGCAATCTAATCAGTCAAATCCTTTTTATCATTGGAGGCATTAAAATAGTATATTATTCCTATGTGCATTCCATATTAAATTATGGCATATTATTCTGGGGCAATTCCTCGTACCGCATAAGAATATTCAGGATACAAAAAAAGATAGAATTATGACGAACTCAGTAAAGAGAGCCTCGTGTCATAGTTTATTCAGAAAATTGGGTATCCTCCCTTTACAAACACATTATATTTAATCAATCTATATATTTATCATAACAAACAGGGAATTATTTAAATTTAACTCCAAAGTACATAAATTTAATACCAGATCTATTTATGATCAGTACTACCCCCAAACTAACTTAACACTATTTCAAAAAGGAATATGTTATAAGGGAGTAAAGATCTTCAACCATCTGCTGACTGAAGTTAAGTCTATGTTTAACGACATGAAGAGTTTTAAATCTAAGTTGACAACATTCTTATTACAGAATTCCTTTTATACTATTGAGGAATTTTTTTAATTTAAATGTGACTAGAAGTAGGATTAAAACAATAAGGTTTTATAATTAAGCCATGCCATATGATGATAAGAGTGATATGTTATATGTGGCCTATTGTAGATGTATGTGCATGTTTTATATTTTGTACATAAATGACTGTTATTGTGAAATGGATGTACAGTAGGATTTACACTGTGTGACCAATTATTTTATTATAGTTTTAACTTGCATAGTGAGTGGTACATTATACAGAGTGTCCCAGGAGGAATGGACCAAACTTCGGGAGGGTGTTCCTTATGTTAAAGTATGCCGATATAACCCAAAACACCTATGTCCAAAGTTGAACGGTTACGGAGATAATGGCCAGAGAAGTGTCAAACTTTGACCGGCGTTGCACACTTGTTGATTACAAAATACATATTAAAACTGGCAGGAATATGTGGATTCTGTAATGTTAATAATGTACGTAACATAAAACTAACTTGTGAGTGACATGAAGCCATAAAATTGAAATACAAAATACTCGCTCGCCATGTCATAATTGTCCTTAGGGTTTCCAAGCACTGTACATGACACATGACTGGCGAGCGATGACGTAATATGGCTGCGCTATGAGCCGACCACATAACTGTGTTTATTATACGTACATTCACGGATAACCTCTTTTGGAATTTCGTTTCCATTATCTCATGTGGATTATTATGGGACCACGTATGAATATTTCGTAAATTATTTACACCGTCCCGGGTAAACGACGCCTCATCACTGAATAAAATGACGCTTAACAGTTCGGGATGAGCTTTTATCCAGTGGCAGAAATCCATACGCTGAGCATGGTCGCCTGGTTCCAGATGTTGTACCCTTTGATCATGGTAAGGATACAGGTCTTCATCATGTAAAGTTCGCCACACCTGCATACGTGATACGCCGATGCGAGAGGCCATTCTACGAGTGGACAGACGCGGACTTCTATCAATCATGCCAAGAATGTTCTCTCATGTGTTTCTCATTTGTACATCCTCCCTTTCCGACTGCACACAAACACTCAGAAGAGAACCAGTCTCACGCAATGTCTGGTGAATTCGCGTAAATACACGTCGAGATGGAATCCTTCGATCAGGAAAACGCGTTTGGTACTCTTCAACAGCAGCACATGCATTGCCACCGCAAAATCCATACACAAAATGCATATCACAATATTCAACGTGTGAAAACAGAAAAGGCATTTCAGCAACTCATCACACAACTAATTTACCACCCATTCATGACCCCGCCGCAACGTAATCTGTAGGCTCTGTAGGAGCTTTATCTCCATAAACTCACAGCACTGAAGGACAAACAGATAAGGGTCTCAGCTGAGACCTACTATAGTGCGTGGACCTGCCAGAAGACCACACTTTTCTCGGGTCATTATCTCCATAACTGTTCAACTTTGGACATAGGTGTTTTGGGTTATATCGGCATACTTTAACATAAGGAACACCCTCCCGAAGTTTGGTCCATTCCTCCTGGGACACCCTGTATGTGGCCTATCATAGAAACATATGTATGTTTTATACTTTGTGATATCCTGTCAGATTTATATTGTATGATTAAATATCTTATTATTATTATTTTGTTATCTAGTATAAATGATAATGGATTTTATATCTATGTACATAGATCTCTGGAAAATGATAAATATGAATATTAAAAACTAAAAGCTAAATTTTACTGTGGAAAATGGGTGATTCATCAGCAAGTCAAGTCACACCATGTAAGGTAAAGCCATCCCTGTGCATAACTGATTAAGCATTATACCATGAAGATGTATGGGGAAGTGGATGTATAATTCCATCATTGTTGACCTCAGTTCTAGACAGAGGTGAGTGTTCAGCTTCACACCCTGGCCACTTTACCCCTGGGGAAATTGTCCTCAGTACCCACTGGATAGGAGGCTGGTCTTGGTGGGCTCCAAATTTTGTCTGGACATTGTGGGGAAGCGAAAAATCTTGCCTCTGTTAGGAATCGAATACTGATCATCCAGCCTGTAGCCTGTCACTATACTGACTGAGCTATCCTGAACACAAGTCATATATATAGGAAAAACAAAACTGTTGAGGAACGGACTACAAAGTACAGTACTGAAATGAAAAGACATGCTTTTGGTACCACAGGCTATTCATGTGAAGGCCCTTCTCAAATCCTGAATAAATGGTCCAATCACCATGTCCCTATAGTGTTCTTGCGTGATGGTAAGAGCATTGCCTTCCTCATCCTCAATGAAACAGGGGCCTAATATACCGTGTGCTGAGACAGCACACTGTATCATCACATGTGTACTATGTAGCAGTTTCTGGATGATAACATCTGGCTGCTCAACACGAAGGAAGCGAGTTCTGTATGAGCAGAAATAATACTCAACTATGAATACTTTTTCCTCCGTTGAGAGACCCATTTCCAACAACAACTGCACAACACAACTTCCTTTTCACTACTGGGAACACGTGCGGCTGGAGCTATGCCCTGTCAACAAACACACATGCGCATTCGATATGCGCAAGTTTCTGTACTGCATATTCTGGTGCATACTGTATTTCAAGAACCCCTTATGGTCCATAATTAACTCCCGTAAATGTTCATATAAATGGCCTGTTCAATGAGATAAAGAGTCCAACAGCATGTCATTTTCCAGGAAAAGGTTTTCAGAACCTTTATGCAGTGAGGTCAGTTAAGATTAGAAGATGACTGAAAGAAATTAAGTACTGGAATTCATTATTTGCTCATAAATGCTATATTTCATACCTCCATCATTTCAATGTGGCGTAAGTGGGCGTTTTTGCTTGTCTGAAGTTGCTGACGAGCCTCATCAAGTTGTGTTTTAAGCTGCATAGATTCATTGTAGAGGACAGAGAACTGTGACTGTAGACACTTGTATTCTGTGGTCTCAACTATAACAGATTCAGGAAGCTGACGAATCTGTTGGGACACAACATAGAGAAAGACATTAATGAGGCTGTTAACAATAATAAAATTTAGGTAACCATGTTAAAATCTTCTGAAGTATTACTTATTAACCTTATATAAATATCACACATACCATATAAAGTCAGTGGGCAGCAACCAAAGCTCTGCCTGCTGACTGCTTCATGCCAATTTCTTACTTGGTTTCTTAGTCTTCAACCCTGATGATGAGTGTGACATGTTCCTCCAAAACACTGGTTAATTTCCAGTGGAATGCACGGTTTTACACCTCAGATGGTAGAACTCTTCATAACCACTACTGTGATAACCTCAGATTCTATGTAGACCTGCCTCTTATTTCACTGTCTATTTTAATGTTGAACAAAGGTCTTACCGGAATAAAGAATTTTACTCTACATGTGGGGCTCTGATGCCAGGCATAACAGACGCTTTATAATATCATGTGTTGGTGACTAAACACAAGGTTTGGATTGATAAGTGTGTTTACTAAATGCTTGCAACCTGTAACTACAAATAACTCTAACAGCCTCATTGATTTATGCACTCTATAGATCACTACAACTACAGCATAAATAAATAAATAAAGCCTTGTATTTTCACTATTCGTTGCTAGGTAGCACTGACTAATAATGCAATTCAACATTAACCACCAACTGACTGGCTTGTCCAGCTGGTCCTTCTTATGTAACAATGGCACAGGCCACACAGAAAACACTGCATCCTCTACTGTTGCGTTAATATCTGTTGCCATGGAAACAAGTTCACGACAACACTTCCTACAATAGCCACGTGTATTCAGTCCATTATTCCAGCTTTCAGCCAACATGTCATCTAGTTAGTTTTATCAGTCTCCTCCTCTCCTTGCTCTTAGCTACTGGTTAATTATTGTATTTTGTGACTTTATCATTTGTAACCAATTTCACTGCTAGTTAATTATGCTTAAAATATGTTCAAGACACTTTTAAAATGGCAATGAAATCATTCTAAGGCTGATAGTAATAACAAACTTCACTTTGAGAACCAAGCTTGCCAAGTCACCTTGGAGGACAAACCAAAGCATCATGAAATCAGTGCGCATTTGGACGAAATTAAAACATGGGAAACTGAAGCAGCTAATCAAACTTGATATAATAAAGCATTAAGGTACAATATAACATCTGTGGCTTTGTTATATGCCTTTTTTGAGCAAAATTGTTTTAAATGTGAATTTCATTAAAAAGCAAAATGAACACAATTCATTAAATCTGCAGACTTTTGGGTTGTAGTCACATAAGAGGATACTGACATTCTGAATGAACACTCTTGTTTCCACACAGAAGAGCAGCAACGAATCAGGCACTCCATATGCTATGGTATAATGCCAATATTACATTCCTGCCAGTAGACAAAGACAATGCCAAGGTCATCTTCAAAAACCTGGACTAAAACAGGTTATTGCTCTTCTGGATAATCCACTATACAAACACCCCATGCAGCCTGTTTATCCAGAAGAGGTTACTTGACTTACAATGCCAATGCTTTTCCTTGCTGAAAGGAAGTCTTCATTACAGGCAATACTTGTTCTATCATGGTTACATTGGAATTAGCAGGCAGACTAGTTCAATGCAAGTGACTTCACTGAATGACATATCTCAGCTCTAAAATGAGGTAACTGGATTAAAGTAAAGTAAAAGATGACCATTTTCTAGTTCAATGCAAGTGACTTCACTGAATGACATATCTCAGCTCTAAAATGAGGTAACTGGATTAAAGTAAAGTAAAAGATGACCATTTTCTAGTTCAATGCAAGTGACTTCACTGAATGACATATCTCAGCTCTAAAATGAGGTAACTGGATTAAAGTAAAGTAAAAGATGACCATTTTCTATGAGGGTACTGGGGTAAACTCAGTACTGACTTCCATTAAGAAACAGGTGTGTCAGATTTTTTCACAGTACATATGAAGTATTTGTTGTTGGCTTCCATCAGGAACATGCCTCATATCCTACTCAGGGGAAGTGTTCTTTCTTCCACGTGATACATTTCAGCACAGCCTACTAAGGCAATAAGAAAAAGGAAGAACTGCCATCCAAAGTCTGTCTGCAAAATTAGAGTTTTTGCCAAATATACTGGGAATGTGGCTTAAAATTTTAGTCTGGATCAATATATTTGTTTTCAAACTAGTACACTAACTTTGCAGACAAGCAGCAGTCACTCGGTTGGTATAGTCTGCTTGCAGAATAAAACGAGATTTTATACATATAGTGTTAATGAAACCATAAATTGAATGTATTACAAAAGAGCCACCACTTCACGTACAAAAGATGCTTGACTGAGACCATGGAACTATAATCAATACATGTGCTGGAAATTGAATATGAAAATACCTGAAATTATATTACTAACAAAATAAAAACAACATAGGAACAATGAATCATCACTCACATCCATCTTAAGTCTCTCAACTTCTTTAAGTGCATCCCTATGTTGCTGATGCAATTTGTCCAACTCCTGAAGACGGTTGTTAGCCAACTCCCGCAGTTCCTCTACTTCTTTCTGGAGGTCTTCAAGCTATGAAAATAAACAAATTGTTCGCTCAATTTCAAAATTAAAAGCACCATTTAAACATTTCACATGTTTGTCATACCATTTTGTTACAGGATCATTAATGCCCATATTCTTAAATTCAGAAGGGCTGTTGCTTTGATTTGTAGAGAACTAAAAATCTGATTTTTCATTACCATTCTGTGAGACTGGTAAAAAGAGTACATCTGTTGTGTGAAACAAAATGCATAAATTTTACATTACAGCCACAGAGGGCTCCATAAATATAAACTTGTAAATTTAATATATATGGATAAATACCGTCTTAAGTGCAACAAATTTTATTGTAGTTTTTACTCCTTTTCCTCCTCCACACTACATGTTTCGGCCCTAAATGGCCATCATCAGGTGTGTATCACTCACGTAGCTGTTACACTGCTTGTTAAAATTTAAAATTAGCAGTCTTTCTAATTGTATAAAATCTTTGTTAATCTACACGCGTCGATTTGATTTTTAAATTAGCACTTTTTAAAACTTAATTCAAGTTAAAATGTCTATAAGATCTCTGTTCTTTCTTTTTCAAATTTTTT